TGTTGGTGTAGGAGTCCTATTCCGGGTAGCGTCACTTCATCGGGGCGTGCTGTAACTATCGCAATTGCATCGAGCCCATAAGTGCGGAGAATGGCGGTGTTGCTGTCAGTCGCTGGCAACACCTCGTCCGCTAGAACCCCATTTGCGTATGTCAGGCGACTCGCCTGGAAGGCTGGAGAAAAGTCCATGGCAGTCCATGTGGGTGAAGTGATTTGCCCTGCATTCGTAGCGTTTTGATGTGCTGTACATGTCTGGGCGTGCCTTCTGTGGGAACGACCAGAGCCTCCCATTCGGTGTGATGAGTTCATCGCGCCATTCCTTATCTGCCTGACATATGGTAGTTAGATCATAACTATTCACGAAGGAGCTGGAAGACCTTCATCTAACTCATATGGCCACTAGATGCGCCGATTCCAGGCGAGTCGCAAAGGGGCAGGGATGGCCTGTGCTAGATTAGTGGTAGATCACTACTTCAAATTTTGCGTGCCTCGTTGTTGTTGAGGCTCTGACAACAATGCACCTGGCATAGTAGGCTGAGTAACTGACAAAGTTGCAGGTAGGCCATTAGACTCACGTAATATACTCGTCATAGGTAAGCTTCAAAGCTTTGCATTCTGCCACGTTGGTAGGGCAGAATAGACACTGATTTCACGTTTGTTCCACAACTTGAAACGATCCGTGCTGTGAGGTCGGGGCCACCCAGCTACGATCTTGATGGTCCATATCTCGCTTGACTAGTAATGGGGAAAGAACTGTGCCTTGGACTAGGATGTGAATGTGACGGAAGCATTAGAAGGGAGAGCATTCGACTCATGCGAAACTGACAGTAGCGGTGGACGAGATAATAGTGATGGAACCACGATGCAAAGACTCGCATTTGATATCTAGTGGTCCCACATCAATGTAACAGTCGAAGTGCCACCAAAATCTTTCCTTGATTCTGCCACCTGCCACACTGGCCCGGGCAGAACATGGTTTTGCTAAGTTCTGCTGGTAGAACTGCTTCAAAATAGTTCTGCCCACAGCTTCTGCGCATGCGTTCTTCTGCCTTTCCTAGTCACGGTGTTTCAGGTTCATACGAAGGTATGTACAGAATCAGACAGATGAAACAATTCCCTTGAAACTGATTCCGAATCTGAAACGCGCAACAACGACGTGGAGACTGCCGAACGAAAATATAAGATTGTGTCTGCTGCCTAAGTGTTATCCTCAGATGCTTGTCTCCGAGAAGACGGGAAATGAGCGCTGAACTAGAAACCAGATTGCACAACAGAGTAAACGGTTAAAACCGGCATGATCAGATTTTGCCGGGCGGTGTTCTAAAAATATCTATTATCGTGACTTGAGCTATAGTCATAATTTAAGCAAGTACTGTTAGATCGCTGTTAGCTTCATCCTCGGAATCCAAAGCCAGGATGACGCCTACTCCGCTGCCTGCAACGCTCTCCGGCGACATAGACACGCTAATGATCGATAACTTTGATTCGTTCACCTGGAATCTCTACCAATCACTCTCACTTCTCGGCACTCAGGTCACTGTCGTCCGTAACAATGCACTCACTGCAGATCAGCTTCCCCTTCTCCGTATCAACAGGCTTATAATAAGCCCAGGTCCTGGACACCCAAAGACTGATTCAGGTGTGTCAAGAGACGCGATCAAGTATTTTGCAGGCAAAGTCCCAGTTATGGGTGTGTGCATGGGTTTGGAGTGTATCGTCGATGTATACGGTGGTGAGATCGGGTCAGTCTAAAGTTGTCACGTTTTTCGTATACAGAAATAACACATTACCCTCCAGTTATGCCGGTGAAATAAAACACGGAAAACTATCCCCCGTCATCCACGACGGCCGCTCCATTTTCCTCTCCCTCCCGCAGTCAATTCAAAGCACCCGCTACCATTCCCTCTCCGCATCTCTCCTAAGCCTACCCTCCTGTCTCATGGCTACCAGTGCCACCTCTGATTCGGGTGTCATAATGGGCGTCCGTCACCGCACCTATGTTGTCGAAGCCGTGCAATACCACCCAGAATCCATATTATCAGAGGAGGGTGAAGGTCTCCTCAAGAATTTCCTATCCTTAAAAGGAGGTACTTGGGAGGAGAACCCCCACGCTAAAGTGAACGACCCAGAGATGCCGCCCTTTCCGTATGACGCTCTTACAGACAAGTCCAAATCCATCACCACAGAAGCCGCCAAGTCCTCCGCCCCTTCCATCCTCACAAAAATCGCACAAAAACGCACATCCGATGTTGAAGCCTTATCCAACACCCCGGGGCTCACCCTTCCAGCTCTAAATGCACATCTCTCCCTGCACCTTGCACCTCCGCCGATATCCCTCTCCCAGAGGCTGCTCCACGCACGCAACGGGATGGCACTACTTGCCGAAATCAAGCGCGCGTCACCGAGCGCCGGATCAATCGCTCCACACACATCTGCCCCACACACGGCACTATCCTACGCCCTCGCCGGCGCAAGTGCAATCAGCGTGCTCACAGAACCAACATACTTCCACGGTCACCTCGAGGACATGCGAGCCGTCCGATTAGCTATAGATGGGCTAGATTCCAGGCCCGCCGTACTCAGGAAAGACTTTGTCCTCAGCGAGTATCAGGTTGTAGAGGCCCGCCTGGCTGGCGCAGATAGTGTTCTTCTCATCGTTGCGATGCTGGGCAAGGACAGGACACGGGCACTGCTCGAATATAGCACTGCTCTCGGCATGGAACCTTTGGTGGAAGTGAACTCCCCGTCCGAGCTTCACATTGCGCTCGACGTCGGGGCCAAGGTCATTGGGGTGAACAACCGTAACTTACACTCGTTCACCGTTGACATGAGCACGACTTCGGGCGTTGCAGAAGTTCTGGAACAAAAAGGTAAAACTGGAGAGGTCATCTTGTGTGCGTTGAGTGGCATAAAGAGTCCCATTGACGTGCGGGCGTATAGGGAGCAGGGGGTGAAGGCTGTCTTAGTCGGTGAATCGCTGATGCGCGCAGAGGATAAGGGCAAGTTTATAAGACAATTATTGGACTGGGATGAGCCCGTTCCAAAATCCTCCTCATCGCAAATCCCCCCTACTGCACTCGTAAAAATCTGCGGCATTCTCACCCCATCCGAAGCCCTCAGCGTAGCAAACGCCGGCGCCGACTTCCTTGGCCTCGTCTTCGTCCCCAGCTCAAAGCGCCGCGTGAGCGTGCACATTGCGCGAGAGATCTCTTTGGCTGTGCGCAACGCTTTCCCACTTCCTGATTCCGATGAAGAAGAGGGTAACGACGAAAATCTGAACCTTCCCCTTCCTTGGTTCACGTCACATACCCACGCCTCCTACATTCCGTCACCCATGCGGAAGACGCGTCCCCTCCTAGTTGGTGTCTTCCAGAATCAGCCCCTACGGTACATTCAGCGGGTCGTGCACGACGTGGGCCTCGACATAGTGCAGCTGCACGGCTCAGAACCCATCGAGTGGGCCAGGAGCATCGGAGTTCCAGTCATACAGGTGGGCGGGGTACCTCCCCCTTCCGTGTCGGAGTCTGTTCCTGAGAGTCTAGGCGAGGGGAGCGAGGCTGAAGAAACTCACACCGCCCCTCTTCCATCTCCGGATCCCCTTGCGACCCTCACGACGCCCGGATACCACCATTTTATTCTGCTCGACACCACTTCCTCCGCTCAGTCCTCATCTCCCAGCGGTGGTACGGGCAAAACTCTCGACTGGGCGCTCGCAGCGCGTCTCGTCAAGAAAGGGGAGGTGCCTGTCACTTCTCCAGACGTGAGCGTCAACGCATCCCTGAGCGCTGTGGATCGTACGGGGGAACAAAACGTTGATGAAGAACCCATAAGCACATTCCCTCTCCCTCTCATCCTCGCTGGTGGGCTCAAACCCTCGAATGTGCGCGAAGCGATTGAGCGTGTGCGACCGTGGGCAGTGGATGTGAGTGGGGGAGTCGAGCGTGATGGGATTGATGGCGAGATTGAGAGGGTGGGAGGGAGAAAGCACGAGGAGAAGGTACGTGCATTTGTGAAGGCTGCTAAGGGGATGGATTAGGGTGTTTTGGTTGGAAAGTGGAAGTAATGATGAATTGTATTTGGAGTTTCGATGCGCATACTCAGAGATATGACGTAGATCTTGGTGTAGTTTAGTGATTAGATCTCACACTCAAACTTGTGTAGTTTGGATGTTGTACTGATCTATCAGTAGGGCGGAATAAAATACTAGACGTGCCACAATCAGTGAACGATAAACGATATGAATATATATTTATATTCTGGCCAAATTTACGATTAGCTAATGTGAATTCTGTAAAGGGGTTAACAGCGAAGTTGAAGTATGTGAGTTCTAATAAAGCGTGTTACCGAATTGAACCGGAGAGGTGACCGCACTTATCCTGGAAGTGGCTTGTATGAAGATGAAACGCCGCGCTTAAGAGACGTTGACCATAGAGTATCTTTAGAGTTTTCTAAATTCTCAGAGATTGATGGATGTTCCACAGGGGAACATGGATGATTATGCCAACATGACGGATTCATACATGACTTCGCTGTTTCGAATTACGACCAAAAGAAGTGGCTCCGGGAATGGATCCGAGTGGCATCATCGCGTGCAAGTAGTGTATTGACGTCAGCGGGCATAGGCTGTGGTGCATGTTGGCATTAATGTTGTCGGCATCCTCTTCTAAATCATATAGCACGGAGCCAGGGTCGGCGAACTGGAAGCCAGGGACCTGCACCGCCATACCAGGTAGAAAGAATGATTCTCGTACCTGTTTGTGAAAACCGAAAGCGTCGGGAATGCTGGCATACAGTTCGTCATAACTTGATAAGCCGGATAAAGGTGGATACTGTGGATTTGGACGGACGTATTGTGGCTATGGAAGTAATCCCGCAACCTGTAGGATCTGCCGAGTTAGTCGTAGGAGATCAGGGCTTGTGCATGAGTCATCAGACGCGCTGCTCGCAAACCTTTTTGGTGAAGAACTTGGAAGGGACTGCGTCGACTAGCGATTGTCATAACTTGCTTCACCACGACAGTCTCCGGGGCACACAAAGCAGAGTCCTATTAAGAGAAAGAAAAATGTAACTATACACGCTGAACTACAGACACACCTGCCAGATTGCTACAGCAAAGGCTACAGTTACGAAAAGTAACAGCAACTCTATCCACGTCATCTAACAACATTTGCTACCTGTTGCAGGTGTGGAAGAGTCAATCGCTACGGGAATAGTATCACTAGTAGGTCCCTTGATGGGGTCAGCAGACTGTTCAAGCGACTTGCTCGAGACAATGCGGTAAATGTCTGAGGACATGTCAGTGAAATGCCATTTGATACAAAGAGTAAAAAATACCTGTTAGGATGGTTTGGAAAGCTGACTCGACATTTGATGCGTCCAGCGCCGAAGTCTCGATGAACGAAAGCTCATTCTCCGCTGTCAGAAAACTAGCACATGAGTTATTCAATCACAGTCAGCTCACGTAAGACATACCTGCGAAAGACTTCGCCTCCTCAGTGGGAACTGCCCTTAAGTGTTTCAAGTCGCTCTTGTTTCCAACGAGCATGATAACGATGTTCGAGTCGGCGTGATCCCGTAGCTCCTTCAACCACCGCGTTACGTTGACGTACGTTGCATGTTTAGCAATATCATACACTAACAGAGCACCAACGGCACCACGGTAATACCTGTAGAAACATTAGCTTAAATTACAACCGCAGAAGGCGACCACGTACGCAGAGGTGATCGCGCGGTAACGCTCTTGGCCTGCAGTATCCCATATCTGTGCCTTCACCGTCTTACCGTCAACAGTGATCGAACGGGTTGCGAACTCGACACCGATAGTTGATTTCGACTCCAGGTTGAACTCATTACGAGTGAATCGCGAGAGAACTGAATGGTGCATAAGCGGTCGTGCTTCCCCTGATCAGTACACTATTCCTTACGATTTCTGTAGGTTACTGTGAGTTTAGGAAATGACAAACGGAACTTGAGACACGCTTACGATTTGCCGACTCCAGAGTCACCAATTAGAACAACCTATGGAGCAGAAACTGATAAGTGCCGTATCAACTATTATCAATTCAGTATACGGACCTTGAAGAGATAATCATATTCGGCCATGTCGAGTTCTAGCGCTGAGTGGTAAAGAGCTTTATGTGTGAAGGAGTCTTGGTTGTTGAAAAGCACAATTGGTCGGAGTTCGAAACTAACAGCAAGAGACTTGGCCGCCGTGCAACCCCTTACAATTAGAGCAGGGTATACCACCCGAGGATATGAGGGCTGTGTACTGCTGTGACCTTTACTACTGCCCCAAATTAGCTCGATGGAGTGGAGTTTGATGTGATTGACAGATTGTGGTACGTCTCCGCCTGTAATGTTCACCTTAACAATTACTAGTGTGCATCGACGTATCATCAAACTTTGGCTTTCACTTCCCAGAATGCTTCCCACCAAGCTCTCGCCATGCTCTGCGCAGTCGAACTTTCGTCATGATTCTCCTCCGCGCCTCCCAATTCCTCCTCAAGAGGATAAGCTACCACTCCATTACAGCAATGTTTTTTTCTATGCCTGTATCAGCCTATTCTACGCTCTGCACCAAAAATTTTCTGACGTGGTCAACGTCTTTCTGCTTCGGAGGATATTTTGTGAATCCCTTGACCCATGACTCGATGACGCTCTGAACACCTCCCGTTTCAGCGAAGTGCGATTTCTCCCCTGGCTGCTTGCCTTGCTGCTTCAAAAGAGGAGACTCCGGGTGCTTAGCTTTAGAAAGGGGTTTCTTGTGATAAGGTGCAGATGGCGCACGGCTAGAAGCCTTAATGATCTTGCGTTTTTGAAGGAGATTTTCACTTTCGCATGTCGAGCCATGATCATCTACTCGCGCTGCAAATCTACAGGCAAGGCGGCAAACACATCTGGGTCGATATCAAGTTGGCGGAGCTCTGCGTCAGATACACGCATACACGATGGGACATCACGTTCCGGGGACGCATGCAGCGTCTTTGTATGTGCCAGGATATATCACAAGCAGCGGTCGAGGCGAATAAGATGCCGAAGATGCGGGGTTAATACTAGCCTCAGGCCTCGCAATCTTTATGTGCTTCCATTCTTTGATCTTTGCAGCCGTCAATGAGCAAGTGATGATATGGGTCCTGTATAAGGGGCGATGAATATCTGTGAAATTACTGGTTTGATGAAGATGGTGCAGACACTGATGATTTCTTATGCAAGTAAGGTTGAAACACACCCGCACCTCCATGTGTGACTATCATTTGACGTAGATCTTGAACTGAAGGATTCTTAATTTATGATCAAAGTTAAGCTTCTGGGATGACAGTGGAGATAGAATTTTCTTGTGACTACCACAGCTTGAATCAGTCGTCTGCCAATTAATTCAATCCATCTGTTCCGATTCTTGCTTCCGAATCTACATAGTCACCTGCACTGTGCAAATTACAGCTCATCGCGTGTAGCAGTGCACAAGACAAAATACAAAACAAGCCGTTGTCAGGACTCGGCAGGTTTTGAACCGGTACCGTCAAGGTATCGTAAGCTTGTTCTTCTCCCCGCGACTTGTAAATCGTTCGCGATGTACGACTCATGAGTCAATCCTTCGCTAAAAAGTACATCTGGAAATTCTAGAATTTACCAGCTAATATATCATAGATGGCGAGGCATAGGTATTTGGAATCACCGAGAAGGGATCGTAACAGAAGTGATAATATGAAACTAATGGGGAGGGGTAATTCTGCGAAGAAGCTAATGAAAGAAAGGGGAAAGCTTCGAAGAGTATAGCATGAGCCTGGAAAGAAGCAAAGGAGATTAATATACTACAAACGCGGCGAGTAAACGTCAAAAGAATGCATACAGAGGCACACGCAATGCTGTGAAACACTTCTACACTTTCTTTTTTTTTTCCTTTTCGAACGGACCAAGATGATACAACACCAAGCACAGAACCAACTCGGCAATGACTTGAGCTTCTTCGACCGAAGTTGCAGATCACCTAGATTAAGCAGCACCCATAATCCGCTGCACTTCCTCGAGACTGTTATTCATTGAGTCCACGAAGCAGTTGATAAGGGGCTGGAAATCGCCTTCCCAGGCCTATAAGAGGTCAGCATTGCCTAGTGCGGGCACAGGTAGTGGATAGTGGGAGGTGACAAGACAAAATCGGAAAATTGACAACAGAACGGAACAACACGTGAGAAAATTGTGAAATACTAGAATAAAGTTGATTGGAGCAATAATCCGTAGAAAATGCTCACAATGTTCAACGCATCATAATATACACTCCTTAGTGATGGAGTGATGCAGAGCGGCGGGAATCCATGACGCATAAGCGGAATAGAGGAGATGAGGAGTGACATGCGACCATTTCCGTCCTGTGCCCACGTCAGATTACAAGGAATGAGGAAGAAAGAAGAAAACAAACGTCAAATGGATGGCATCTAACGAAAGTGACATGAAGCCAAGCAGCCGTCGCAAACGGGTTCCTCCAGCGCGCAATATATTGCTGTATCATACCATCAGTACCCCAGTCGACGCAAAGCGCCACACAAAGTCCCGCGAATAAACGCCTACTCACCTTCCCCATCCGACATATATACTCCAGCTGCTGGTCCACACGCTCGGCAGGGCAAAATGCGAGATTATACTGTTGACTACGTCTCACCACTGATTTCTGCGTCGTTTGGCGGGTGAACCCTGCATTGATATAATGCAAGCCTCCGACCATTGGGTCATTGATCTTCACTTTCGATGTGCGCATTAGCTTAGCGTGCACCATTTGTATCAGTCCAGGGGCTAGGAGCTCTGGCCGCTCGTGGCATGGAATAGTGGCAGAGAAAGCCTTGGGCGAGTTGAATAGGTTGAGTGAGGTGATAAGGAAAGGTGGGAGATGGCTTACATCTTCGAGGTCAATTAGCGCTTGAACGATGGCCTCAGAGTCTTTAAGATCGCTTCTAGCATCACATCGCACTAAGTGAGGGGCAAATCCCCAATGAGTGAGTGCATCTGAAGACTAAGTTGACAAAATCATTAATGTTAGAACCACTATCTCAACCGTAACGCCACTTCTGCGTTTGGTTGTCCACGGTTGAACAACTCACCTCCCCAGTCAAGTGGAAGGTGCCCTCGAGGTAATGTGCCTTGATCCAAATGTAGTTGAGGTACTGCCGCTGGTATGGGCTCGTGCGCCATGCCGCTAGGATATCGGCTGACGCTGGTGGGAGCATGGGCCAATTGAAGGGATTCGCATGCTCGCGCGCGGGCTTCCAGCGCTGGAAGAAAGTTAGAGAACCGGTGCTGCGTGCTATGAAGTGTTGAATATCAGGATGTTGTGACGCGCGTATGCAGGGTCACACCTTGCTGCTCCGTATCACCTTGCGCTAACATCCGCACTGTCGACACGAATTGGGCAAATGCCGCACCATTCTGGCCAGTGATACCATGCAGAACCTGCATTAAAAGAGAAGAACCAAAAAAAACAATATGATTGAGGGAATTGAGAAAAGGGGGAGATACCAATGGAAAAGCAAAAATATTTTAGCCCCAGCCCACAGATACCACCGAACTACGCGCCTCATCGTAGAGTGGGAGAGCAGTACTGAGGGACCCGCCGGCCGCGCGCACGTCGGCAACCCGCACCTGGAAGAAAGGAACGGGAAATTTAGGAAGGTAGTAATCTTCCCAGATGAGGGCTAGCGCGCGGAGATGACGTTCGATGTCGTCCGGGTTGGTCGCAGACTGAAGACGGTGGAGGAGCTCGGTGAGAGCGAGTGCATCTTCGTCGGGCACACAACCAGGAAATTCCTTGAGTTAGACGATAGTGATCAGGATGAATCAAATAACAAGGGCGGATGGATATGGAGATTGGTTTCAGTAGGAGGACAAGGGTCACACGCACGACGATATAATAGACGAAAACAGTTACGTGAGAGTCATCGATGGCGACGATGTTGATTAGACTCACGACGAGCTCTGGAGTACTGCTGTAATCCCAGCCCGGAATGTGCATCGGTGCTAGCTGAGGCGCATGGAATTTGACACGGAAGTCAGACTCGGGATCTACGTCCATCCTGAGATGCATCAGTACGTATCACTAATTCAGAGGCGAAATGTGCTCACATAGTGTGTGTACTGAGAACGGCTGCACTTGCACCAAATAAACTGGAAGTGAGGGACAAATGGGACAAATCATATTCCGAATACCGGTAGTCAATCAATTAATATTACCTCGAGTCGAGCAATAACTTGTTTTGGAGGGTGGTCCGTGACTGGGCGATAGCTTTGTGTGAAACTCTGCGTGTGCTTGATAAGGGAGGTCATGGGTTCCAGGGTCTTGTTTGCAAGGACTGGGTTGCTCTAGCCCAGGCCCGGACAACGAGAAGGATTCGGATCATAGAATCATTAGAATGACTGCATAGTATGGTTAAAGCCTCGTGGCAGAGTATGTGCATTACCAGTGCCTCATCCTTTGATATATCTCAGGTTAGCCGCGCTGATCGTCATCCTCTATACTGGAGACGCGTAGAAACCAAAAAAGAGGGTATCTGTAATTCTACATGGCTGAAACAATCAAACCTGTGATCGATCAACACATGCTGGACACGAGGATCAGTCGTCTTCGAATCAGACTTTGCTTTCGCTTCATCCAGAGTGTTATGGAAGAGGGCTGCTGGCAGAATTCGTTCCTGAAGGTACAAAAAAAATCTCTGTTTTCGACCGGAACTTTGATTGCCCTTTATTTAATATAATATAATATCTTTTCATTTTCCCACGCTTTCATAGTCCTGTAACTCACATTTCGCTTGGTGACATGGCTGCGTCTTCAAGCTTCATCATCTGCTTTGCCTTGCTTCCTCTTGTCTGGCTTGTTGTAACATATCAGCAGGTAGTTGACAACCGTGTGTCTGTCATCTCCTTCAGTCTGCTTCAAAGACTGTTTTCCAAATCCCTCGGGTGACGTATGGCTCGAACTTTTAGATGGCAGGTGGATCCTTGGGTGTACAGTCCTTGAGTATTACATAACCCAGACATATGCAAGCTGGAGCGTTGCAGTATAGTGGAGTGTCGAGATCGCGTCTGTTTACAACAGTATCCAGCTGGAGTTCTTTTGTTAGTGTCTGCTCCGACACTCGAATTTGGGCTTTAGCGACTACAACCGTTAAACACTAGGGGTTGAAGATGAAGCCATGGAAGTGCGTTATAATTACCCTGTCATTACTTCGTTTGATGTATAGCACACTCGCTCAGTCTGGCTCACTTTATTTGCGATGCTACAGTGTATCTGAGGTACGGAAGGAGGGGCGTAAAAGCATATTGTCTCATTTGGATCCCCGGATGCACTCTGCATGCAATTGCAAGAACGTTAGTCAAACTTCATCCAAGAGGCGTACCGCATTGTGGTAAGCAAAAAAAACACTTTGCTCTCAGTTACCTGCGGGGTGCCAACCTTTATAAGACGGGTGTATTGACCTTGCCCATATTGGTTCGTTACCGCCAACTCTACTCCTGGAGAGTCCCGCTCTGTCAATCTGCCACCAATGTGACTAACCATGTGGGGAAATTTTCTCTCCAGAAAGCACTTGCCGCTACCTTCAAATTTCCTACTTTATGTTTCAAATTATTTGTTTTCTGCACGCGTATAAGGATCCATGTACTTCCCTAACAATGCCCGAATGTCAATGCCACCAGCACAAGGAGCTTCACTCCTTGTGATACTGGAGTACTCTGTACTTTCCCTTTCTCTCCCTTACGCACTATAACCTTTGTTCACCTCGTCGCAACACACTTTGACATTGCCCTGATGCCACCGCAATGCTCCCTTTGTTTTACCGCCACTTTCTCCTACATTCCAGCAACACTTTGACACGACTTACTCGTATAAAATGCCCATTTGTAGTCATCGAACTTGACAGAACACGCTCAGATTCTCGAAAGTTCGTCAGTTCATCATA